GGATCCAGTGAACTAGAGACCAGTCAGCCTTACCTCAGTCCCTAGACAAATCATGGGGCAGATCCTCAAGGAATCCATTTAATAGCAGCCTTCAACTACCTAAAGTGTGGTTCCAAAGAGGATGGAGCTACACTGTTCTCAGTGATGGCAGATGACCGAACAAGGAGCAATGGTCTCAAGATGTAGCAAGGGAAGTTTAGCCTAGCTATTAGGAAATCTCTCTCACCAGGAAGGTAGTAAAGTGATGGAACAGGTTACCTAGAGAGGTTGTGGAATATCCATCCTTATGTGTTTTTTTTTCAGACCAGGCTAGACAAAGCCTTAGCTGGGTTGATTTAGTGGGGGTGGTCCTGCTTTGAAGTGGGGGTTAGACGAGATGACCCTCTGAGATCCCTTGCAACTTAAGTTTTCTATCATTCTATGAAAAGCCAACAATCTAGGAATCTTTTTTGCAAATGGAAATAGTCTCAGAATAGTTTGCTTTGACTGTCATTTTGAATTACACACATATCAAGCTGAACAGAAATATACTTAGCATTTCCCAGGAAAGTGGCAAAAATTGAAATATTTCAAAGGAAGAAACTGATCTTGTCACATGATAATTGTCTAACGAAAAAGTGTTCCTTCACAAATTTTTCTACCTGCTCTGGTTTTCAGTGACGGACAAAATATATCCAGTTTTAATAGTTTGACTATGTCAGTTAGGGTTAACTAGCATAACTAGGGGTGGGTGAATGCCTGCATAAGTCCAAGATGCTGATTAAGGGGGCACTGGAATGGATGCGGCTGCACTGGGTGGAGTGGGGAAAGGAGCCAGGAGGTGACAGTAGAGGGGTGCCACTCCTTACACCTCCTCTGTCACTGAATTAGGAGTTGTATATCTTCCAGTATGGCATTTGGTGGTGCCTGCCATGGAGGCAAGAGGCTTGACATTTCAGCTTGGGGACGCCTTCCCTCATAGCTGCCAGGACCCTGCCTGGGTCCACCCCCATGACTCCTCCTCTTTCTCCCTGCATCTAAAACCCACAGCTGCCAGGACTCTAGAGCCCCCCTGCCTCTACATCCTATGTCCTGGAAACCAGCTGCCCAGTGCATAAACACTACCAGATACTCCTCATAGATACAACACTTCTGGCCAACACAACTACACTAGCATAGGTAAGTTATAGCCCTACAGAAGTGCCTTTTACTAGTATTGTTTATTTAGGGTCCTGGACCTGAACTAGTTATAAACCAAATAAACAAGTTTAAACCATATATTTGCATCAAGACCAAGGAAGATATTTGCTCCTTTGGTCATTTTGGCACACTTAAAATAACGCTTTCTAGATTAGATAAGCCTCTCGTCTCCCATAACTTAATGGGACAAATTTTCCTCCGCTCATGTATGTCAATTGTAAGTACTTCGGTGAATCTATGTCAGACAGTTTTGCCTATTGACACAAGCACTGAGATGACCCTTTTAAGACCTGGTTTCTATTCCCAACTGCCGCTGGCCTGCTGGGTAACCTTAGAATTCACTTTGTCTCTATGCTTTTTTGTAAATATAAGTGTTCAGAAATCTAATAATAAAGAGATAGGCTTTCTTACCTTAATTGCTTCCTGCAGAGGATCCAGTGGCTGATACACTGCTGGCACATTCATCTTGTTCTGGTTCTTGCCATGAGAGAGTTCTGCTTTGAAGAAAAAAAAAAAAAAAAGGATTTTGCCTTACACAACTAGAGACGTGCAATATGAATAATTACAGTTATAGACATTTGATTGCTTCCCCCCTGCCCAAACACAGTCTTCTCAATCAAAAGACATTGTTGCTTATTATCCTAGGCTATCAGTTCATGCACAGCTGTTATGGATTTATATTCAAATCTGCAATTTTACACATTGCTCTTTGTGGCTTAATTTCTATAATTAAATGGGTAAAAAAAATAAGAACTTTAAAGTAATTGCTTTGCCCTAGGCTTTTTTGATCAGATATTTTCAGAAAAGAACTAACACCATTACCTTGCTTCATTTATTCTGTGTTGGCTGTGTAATTATCAACACTTCTGAGCTCAGGTAAACTTGGAATTCTATGCACATCACCTACAATATCCATGGTTAGTCATATTTTCTCAGGTATACTTTCAGAGGACTAGGATTACTGGGTGTAATTACCCTTTATAGAGGCTTTCTTGAAGATCCAATTTATATATTTTAGTAGGCACAGTATGTAAATTGCTAGGAGAATATGGATGAAGAATAAATATACTTTTATAGGCAAGGTTCTTTGGGTTAATGTGATATCTTTTATTAGACCAACTGAATAGCTGGAAAAAAATGTTCTTTGCAAGCTTTCAAGCACAAACACCCTTCTTCAGGCATAGGGAGAGTCTGCTGGTGTTTTGTGTTTTCCCGGATGGAATAGAAGCCAATATGCAAAATGCAAGTCTGTGAAAACGCATGTGCGTGGCAGTGAGGCTCAGAGGCAATGGGAAACAATAGATACGAGGCAGAGAGGTGGACGGGAGAATGTTGACTTGGTGGTAAAATGTAGCTGGGAAAATGTAGAGAGATTACCTGGGGTTATCAGATGATAGGCAGGTTATAATGTGCCAAAAATCCAATGTCTATATTTAGTCCAAGATTTTTTGTATCCAGTAGATTTATGAAGTGAAGTTCATAAATTCATCTTTAAAAGGTGTTTTGTAAATTCCCTTTGAGGATTAGAACTGAGAGATTGGAGAGAGAGTGGTTGTCTTGTGAGAAGTGTGCCCCCACAGGTAATTGGGTATTCCTGTCTTTGATAGATTTCCGTTGTGCATTCATTCTGGTACACAGTTGTTGTTTGGTCTCTCCTACATATTTTCCATTTTGGACATTTACAGTTTTTTAAGCATTCAGAAATATAGGCCCCAATTCTCATTTCTATCGCATCCCCTTTCACTTAAGACGGGTAAAATATTAATGCATTTTGGGTTAACCCATTTAGCAGCAAAAATTAGTCCTTTATGTAAGTGACCTGATGAAGAATCCCTTGCCTTCCAAAGCTGATCTCACTCTATCACAACTACACAGCAGGTCCTTTAAAATATATCAGCCTAAGACATCTTTGTCTCTCCTTTATGTCAATGAGAGTTGAGCCCATCAAATTTTGGGAAAAGCAAGACTGTGGAACTCTTTCCTTTTTAAGAACTTTGAATCCTTTTGAGCTAAATGCAAGACACTCATATACTCATCTGACATAAATTGGCACAAACCCATTGACTACTGTGCTTTATACCCAATGAACATCTGGCTCAAGTTCAGCTGAAATCTACTTCTGCATAGTGGAGAAAGTGTGAAATGGAGATATGAAACACTTTCAACCTATTATTCCACTGTAGTCTTGGTGGAAATCTGTGGCACAGCACAAGGTCCATAAACTAAGTAAATTCCATTTCAGCTCTCTTTGGTTGGTTGATGCCCCATCTACACTGTGACTGTAGAGATTCAAGCTAAAGAGCCATGGGTTGGACACAAAAGAATAAACAAGCAATAACTTTAATTTCTTTGAGCCAAGTAAGCTCATCATAGAATCATAGAAGTAGGGTCGGAAGGGACCTTGTAGATCTTCAAGTCCAACCCCCTGCCTGGGCAGGAGGAAAACTGGGCTCAATTGACCCCAGTCAGGTAGGCATCAAGCCGTTTCTTAAAGACCCCCAGGGTAGGAGCCAGCACCACTTCCCTTGGAAGTTGGTTCCAGATCCTAGCTGCCCTAACTGTGAAGTAGTTCTTATGGGTGTCTAATCTAAACCTACTCTCCAACAACTTGTGGCCGTTATTCCTTGTTATCCCGGGGGGCGCTAGGGGAAACAAGGTCTCCCCCAAACTCTTCTGGTCCCCCCTAGTGAGTTTGTAGACAGTCACCAGGTCCCCCCTCAGCCTTCTCTTGTGAAGGCTGAACAGGTTCAGGTCCCGTAGCCTCTCATTGTAGGGTCTGCCCTGCTGTCCCCAGATCATGCAGGTGGCCCTCCTCTGGACCCTCTCAATGTTGTCCACATCCCTCTTGAAGTGGGGTGCCCAGAACTGGACACAGTACTCCAGCTGTGTCCTGACCAGTGCCACGTAGAGGGGGAGGATCACCTCCTTGGACCTACTTGAGATGTACCTGTGGATGCCTGATAGGGTCCAGTTAGCCCTGCTGACCGTGACCTCGCATTGTTGGCCCATTTTCATCTTGGAATCAATTGATGACTCCAAGATCCCTTTCTGCCTCCGTGCTCTCAAGAAGGGAGTTTCCCATCTTATAAGTGTGCTGCTGGTTACTACTGCCCAAGTGCAGCACCCTGCACTTGTCAGTATTGAAAGGCATCCTGTTTTTGTTAGCCCACCCTTGCAACCTATCCAGGTCATTCTGTAGTTTTTCCCTCCCTACTAGTGTGCCCACCTCACCCGAAATTTTGGTATCATCAGTAAATTTGAAAAAGTTGCTTTTCACCCCATCATCCAAATCGCTGATAAAGAAATTGAACAGTGCGGGCCCAAGGACCGAGCCCTCGGGGACTCCACTGCCCACTTCCCCCCAGGTTGAATATGACCCATCCACCACCACCCTCTGAGTATGACCCTTCAGCCAATTTGCAATCCAATTGACTGTGTAGGCATCAATGCCACAGTTGCCTAGTTTTTTAATGAGGATGGGGTGGTCCACAGTGTCAAAGGCCTTGCTGAAGTCCAGAAAGACTACATCCACTTCATCCAAAGACTTCAAAGCCTACAATTTGAATCTCAGTGCAACCCTTCCTTATAGGATGACCATATACCAGAAACTTCCAGAACTAAAAGCATCAGGTACAACAGTTGAAGCTGAAGACTCTGCCAGGGTCTATATGTGTAGGCTGTAAACAGAGACATTTGTGAATTCAGCAAGTAGTAGGTGGGGTGAAAATGCAGGTGGTCACTGTGTTATAAGTAGACTTGTGAAAGCCCCCACTGCTCATGTCTTTTCAAAGCTACAGTCTGTCATTCTTGCCACTAAAAAGAAACCATTCCTTTGATCTAAGGTCACTTTTCCTCCCCTCCCCTCACCACTCACCTTCCTTTTCTGTTCCCAGGTACCCATTAGAGTCCATTAATTTAAATACTTGAAAGACTAGTATTTGAGATTTCACTTTTTATAAAAGCACAATTCTTGATGTTTGGTTAGCAAGCAACACTTCACCTTTTCAGCTGCATTAGACTTTCAACTCAACTGAGAAAGAAAACACATGGGTGGTTTCATTTTTTTTTAGGTTTGAGATAGACTAGTAATGATTACCTTTTGTACTAAAACATTTTCCCATAAGGTAAGTGTCATTGAATTTCAAAGGGCAGCTCTTCATCAAAGATACTCCATGTTCAGAGTGACTGAATTTCTCTAGCATCTTGAATAGAAGACTTAAAATCCAACAGCATTTCAGGGTCCATTTGCGAGGAAGAGAAAATAAAGTTCAGATTCTATTTCTCTGACTAGACACATACGTAGTTAGGCACCTAGATGTTATTCTATTCCATCACAAGCAACTAATGAAAAAGGTGGGTAGGTCTTCCTCATTGCTTTCTTTGTGACTTAATGTTAGGTAAATTGATGGTGTGATACAAAAAAAAAAAAAAAAAATAGATCCATTCATGTATTTTCGGGGACTTAAACAAGGTGAAATAGAATCATTCTTAGAGCCTCATTACACGTTAATTTTAGGTGGCTCCTGGAGCTCTTAACCTCTGGTTTGTCCACACATTAACACTTGACACTAGTTTTAAGCACACTTGAAGTTTAAAGTGTCTCACAATTATGCCACTCCAGGGCATGTTTGTCTCTAATTTGTGTTATCTACCTTGTGTTTCATTAATGTGTGGCCGCTCCCCACAGATGAGCTTCCCAATCTGTAGTCCTCCAACATCCCAGGATGCAGTGTCCCCTGCACTAGGCCTCCTGTTCTGTGCGGACAAACTTTCCACCCCTTGAACTCTACTGTGCAGGGAGATGTTCTGGTACCAAGTCAACTCCTGCTCCCTTCCCTGGGGGTGGGAACTTCCCTCCTCCAGGGTTGCAACCTCCTGTGCAAAGGCCTGTGCGAAGCTTCAGTTGCTGATTCAACTTGGTGGAGATTCAGCCGTTTCAGTGGCCGAATCTCCAAATCCAAATAAGGATCTATTTAGGAGACCCTAAATAGATCTCCCTAATCAGGAGACCCTTTATTCTCTCCAAATTGAATCAAAACCCTTTGAATCGATTTGGAGAGATTTGGAAAGATTCAACAATTCAGACATAGACGTAGCTTTAAATGTTTTTTCTACATACCTCATGGTACCAGGCAGCTCATGAATGCTGCAATGGTGGGGCAGATGGAGCATCCCACAGGAGCATAGGGGGGATCCCCAGCATACTCAGCAGCAGACTCAGAAGTGGACCAGAACTTCTGGTCCACTTCTGGTCCATTTCTGGGTCCACCAGGGAGTGTGCTGGGGAGATGCAGAGTGGCCCCCCAGCATGCTCAGTGGTAGATCTGTAAGTAGACTGAAAGTACTTCCAGTTCACTTCCAGGTTCACCGCCAACCATGCGGGGGGGGGCTCCCCCACTCCTGTGGGTTGCTTCATCTGCCCCACCAGAGGTATGTAGAGAAAACATTTAAAGCGGTTTCTTTGGCCAAATCACTGATTCTCTGAATCAGCATTAAATCGTCAGATTCGGATTTGGCCAAATCAAATTGGGACAGTGATCCTAATCAATTAACTGAATCACTGTCCCTGATTCAGGCCAAATCTGAATCCAAATCGAATACGACCAGTTTTGCACAACCCTAGCAACACGGCCCTTAGGGGCCTAAGTCCACTGAGATGCCTAATAAATGGAAGAGAATCTGGCCCTAAACATCTTGCTTCTTTCCTTAGGGGAGCTCCTGAACCACCAGAACTCAGACTCCTTAGGATTTCCACCTTCTAGGATGAAGAAATCAGACACCATCTATGAAGTAGCTTTGTTTCTTCGAGTCAACTTTGCCCACCAGAAACGCAAAGAATTGAGTTGTAATACAAATCACCTGTGCTGCTTGGAATACTTTGTTGATGGCTTCCAGCAAGGGGACCTGTGATGTATGGACAATGACAGACCTCACTGGAACTAGAAAACCACAGTGACCTTTAATTTAGGTTAAATGGAAAAATGAACTAAGCTCATTTATGTAGTACAGTGACTGAAATAACAGGAGTCCAAGGAACTGGGTAACATAGGGAAAAGGCGAAATAAAAGAGGTTTGCTTGCGGACTGGTTGCAAACAGGGTGTAAGGCACTGGTTTCCATTTGTGTGGCTACAGGCATGGCATCAGTTGGAAAGGAGTCAATCACTTGGAGGCCAGGAAAAGGACAATGACAGGTTCTTTTGGGCATAGTGCTGACTAAAATAAAAGGAAAGCTTGAAAAATGCAGATAAGGAAACTGCTTCTTATGTGTTCCTACTGTTTTTCTGCAAAGAACATTTTGTACTTTTGTAAATAAACAGCTCTGCAGCAAAACACTATTTGACTCTCATACTCATTTTCTTCTAATGGAAAACAACTAGCCAGACCCCAAATGTTGACTAACTGCTTAGGCTACTGCACAGCCTTCTGTAATGCCTTGTCCAAAATATCTGCAGTATGCATGCCCCATTTTTTACAGGTAGAGAGCACCTTCAAACCCAATAGATTTCAAAGCACACAACATGTTTCAACTATCAAAGTTTCTACAAGAGGATCAGACATAGGCTGTGAACCAGCACAGAGAATTTGGCCAAGAGAATATTTCGGCTAAGATAATAGGGTAAACATGTTAAATGTGCGCATCCTTCTGCATCTGTCAGAGAGCAACATATCTCCAGAGATGTTGATTCTTAAATATTGTAGTAATGCATTCTGGGGGCCTGAATACCTATTCTTTACAATAGAAGTTTCTCTTTTCAATCCCAGCCATGTGTCATGGATTTCCTGCTGGCATAACTAAAGCCTCAATTCAGTGTGCAATGCATATTGTAATTGCTTGATGCCTTCAGTAGAAGCAGAAATACAAGGCTGGAGCTTTCATTTTCCACACAATAGTAGCCAGTGGTTTCAGACTCAAAGTGAGGCATTGATGGGTAAACAAAGATTTCAATCCTGTTTTAACTGAACTCCTCAGCAGGTTCATTACAAACAGCTTAGAACTATTTCTACTTCATCAAGGCTTTGATAACTCAGTGAAAGAATTTGTGAAGTTTAGTTAGAGAAGAACACAGTTTGAATTGTATTTTCATCTGCATACCTAATTTCTTTTAATCCTTCCAGTCTCAAACACAAGCAGTTAGGGTTCAGATAATGAAAGGTCTAATTATCTTGGTTTGCTTCATTCAGGCTGACTTGGAGGCATTTGTGTATTTCCCGATTAGCCATTTTGCTTGAAGTTATTTGTATGGCAGTTAGTGCCAGCTGCATTACAGAAATGGAGAAAAAGCCAGCTCCTTGGGCGTACTGATAACAAGACATTTTCTGTGTTGTGGACTGCAGGCTGTGAATTAGCTTAATGCAAGTGCTACACAGCAATATTTTGTTGTGCAGAAGGAGGGGGAGATGGTGGCATTATGTTTTCTAACAAGGTTCTTGCTCCAGCCTCCGCAAAGTGCTACTTTTCATGAAATTCTAGTTCCAGTGTATAATATCCTGAACCCTCGCATTGAATGAAAGCTGATACATCCCATTACCTGCTACATGAACCAGCACAGATAACTAGAGACAAAATCATAGCTGCAAACTTATTACTCTACTACAAAATTGCTTTAATATTGCACCCCGGGATAATACTCTCTCGGTAATTCATAGAATTACTTCACTACGTTTCAGTAATTTGTTAGCCAAAGGTGGTTTCTGCATAACTTTAGCACACATATTAAAACAAATAATATCTTACATGAAAAAATAGTATCTATGGAAGATAAAATAATCACTTCTTGACTCTGCACAATGCAAACATCTCTTTATGGCTTGTCCCTTTTTAAAGTTTGGACCAGCTTAAAAAATGGTTTCAGGTTTGAAAGGCAACCGAAGAAAAATGGAGCTTGTTTCCCCTTCTGCATGATCTAATGTCAAATCTGATAATGTTAGTGGCAAGTTTTACTACATTTAGCACTACATGTCGTGGGGAAAGTAAAGCAGACTGTATGTGCAAATCTGTGTTCAGATTGTAGGGTGCATTTTGCAAATTTTTCTTGACCCTGGGAATCTGAGGACAATAATTCTGTCACAGTTCTGAGCACCTGCAACATGAAGTGCATTGAGCTTGGCATAAAATTCTGTCCAATACTGTACTATAGCATCAGTAAATCTACTGAAGAAATAATCGGCAGTATACAGGCCAGTAGTTTGTTATGCACTTAAAGGCAGAGCTAATGTCACCTGGAATTAAAAAGAAATTCAGCTGATTAGTCAGCCTGCTGCTCATTGATTGTTCAGAAACAAAACCCTGTCAATCCAGTGCCACAGAGGAAAAAAAGCAGAGGTGAAAATCTCAGGCGCTATTGTATAATTTGGAGCTGCTCTCAGTTGTAGAATAGTGGGGGGGGGGAGAAAGAGGAGGTGTGGATGTAAGGGAAAAAAGGATAAATAGAAAAAGGAAGAAGTTCCTTCCCCGAAGTCCCCAGCTTTCACGCTTAGTAAATTGTGTTAATCTGTAGGACGCACATTTTTACCTGAGGCAGCAGGGGGAATTTCTTGTTTTCTTAAATGTCAACAAGCAATTCATTGGCCTTTGCGCAGCAGTTGCATACAATTCTATAATCCTTCATCTCAGTACTCATCTGCATGGACTCAACGAGAGAAGCTAGCATGAGCTCGATTGTGTGATCTGTCATGGTAATGCCAGAAAGAGGACAGTATTAGTACTTATATATTTCCTTGTGAACCATAGGTGCAACAGGAGAAACCCACAAAGTTCCAGAGAAATAAGGGAGAGACTAGGAGGAGTGACACTAGAGCGGAGCCATCGTGGTGTATGCTTTACGCAATCCAAGATTTGTACTTCCGTGCTTCTACGCTGTATGGTTGTTAGGAAGCAAGGGATTGAGCCAAAACTCATCACAGTCAGTCACTGAAAACTTCTTTACTAAACTTGGCATTAGGCCCTCAACGAGGCAGGGGTTTGCTCTTGGAACAGTGAAAGTAAAAAAGAAGAAACAGCTGCTTCCCTGGCATCAAACCACCCAGGCTGGTAAACACCCTGTGGAAATAAATAATAAGTATTAGCATGTAATTATAGGCTATGCTGTGATGTGCACTCCCAAACAGTGAATATTAGAGGTGGGGAGAGAGAATGGGCGGGAGGAAATGAGAAAAACAAAACAAAAAGAAAAAAAAACAAAAAAACAGACAAATACCATGTTTTAGCAAAGCATGGAAAATGAGTGCTGACAATTCTGCAATGCTGAGATATGTTACACTAAATACAGTCATGGGAAAAAATGTAACTAGTTAAAGTTAAAAGTTAGCATCCTTTAAAATTCACTTAAGTTAAAAGTTAAATATTTCCACTTGCAACTAGTTAAAAAGTAAGTTAAAAAAAGAGAAACTAGTTAAAAGTTGATTCGTGAGAACTGTGTGAAACATGGTGAATTGCCTCTTAGCATCATTTTTCATTTTCAAATGCAGTGAGTGGTTTTCTTTTCCATAAGCCACAGAAGCACACCAATTTACTCAGAACTGACCCCGCTTTACCTGAAAACAATGTTATACTTGTCATACAGTTTTCGGAATAACAATTTACCAATACCTATGTAATGTTAGATCCTTTTCATCCTCTCCATGTGAAGTACTTTGTAATCAATGCATCATATAGGTATACCAGAATAACAGAAAGGAGATGTTCATAGCCAGGTGACACTAAGAATTCATACTGTAGTACTGCTTGTGAATATGTTCCCTATTGTAGAGGGTGATGGAAAAAAACCTCTGTTGTTACAATTTTTATTGCTTAAAAGGTAACAAAAGGGTATTTCATACATCTGAATGAGAAATAATGAAAGTGTCTGAAAATCAAAATTAGACTGAAATGAGAAAATCAGTTTAAATGAGAAAAAGAATGTTCCATTGCATAGCAGAAGCTGTTTAAACATGCTTCTTGAACTTCAGCAAAATTTCATCTAACGATTTTCCTCTTCTGTCTTGCAAAACTAAACCCCCACTACCGAACAATCGCTCTACATGGGCAAATGAGGGAATGCTTGTGTTATAACAGATTAATAGTTTTTTTCATAGTAGGTGACATCTCAGATAAGTTTCTCACAGATGAGAAGTAATGCTCAACTTCCTCGGCCCTGGGCTGCTGGTTCTGATCTTCATTCAAATTACAGAAGTCATCGTCTGCTTCACACTCACTACTTGCTCCCAGTCTTACTGGGATCAATGTCTCTGCTTGCTTGTGCTTGTTCCCTCTCCTGCAGCCAACTGGCTGCCCTGTTGGCTTCTGCAAATGCACAGAAAATGCCAGCATGAACTAAGGAACTCTGGAGCTTAAGACACCATATCTCATAGGAAGGCGCACTACTCTACGTCTTTCAAACAAGAAGTCCTAGTTTCAATAAAGAAATATCGTTCATGTAAGTCCTAGAGAGTGGCTGTGTCAGGAAAAACTCTGGGAAAGACGGATTTCAATGTTTTTTTTTAACTTTTAACTTATACTTTAAAAAAAAAAATTAAAGTTGACCTTTTTTTTTTTAACTAGTTAAAGTTTAAAGTTAGCCATTTCTTTAACTTTTTGACTAGTTAATTAACTAGTTAATTCCCATGACTGACTAAATATTACTGGTCAAACCCTAAGCACAAACAGGAAAGCTGTGAAGGAGGTATCTTTCATCAAGCACCTCTACGTTTGGGTTTACCTTGGAACTCCAGTCAAGAATTTCAAACCCTTTATTAGGCCCTGTAGAAATGAAAATGACACTCTTTGTCCTAAAGAGGTTATTGTCTAGGGGTTGGATCCTTTGATCCGGTAAGGCTACTATGAGCTGTTCCTATTTGAGCGCACGAGCTATAAAATAGATATTTTCCAGATCTCTAGAAGGCAGCCACAGCTATACTCAACATACATTAACTCCCATCTCCCGAGCACCTTAATGTCAAAGGCATATTGTGTTTCTAGTGCATTTGGCTCTTTATTTCAGCTTGGTTTGTTTGTTTCTGGGTAACCCTTGTAGTGCAGAAGGATGGGCGCCAAAATAAAAACCTTACTGCTCATCTAAAGGTTTTAGAACTTCTTCCAAGAACAGGACCTGCAAGTACCTTAATAAACGGACTGGGAAGTTTGTCTAGGAGACTGCAGCTCTTAGGATCACCATTCTTTCTGACAACTTTATAAGCAAGCAAGAAAGCAATGGGATGCTTCAGAGCTGAGCAAGTAACTTGGAATCTCAGGGCTAGTGTTATTTGTGTAGTGTCATTGCTTAAGTGCAGTTCTACTAACTTACAGCAGCTGAAGAGCTGGCCTGCTGTGTATGGTCATTCCAGTGGGGACTGAGCTCTGCTAAACAGTCTGGATAGTTAATTTACAACCTTGATTATTAGAAGAGGAGAGGAGAATTGGAACATGCAGGGGGTTTTAAGTTTTTTTTTTTTAAGCCAATCGTGATTAATGGAAGACAAAAGGATTTATTAGCAATACCGCTTCAGTCCAGGTATTTGGGGAAAAACAAACAAACAAACATTCATTTTGATGTTTCTGCAGACTTTAAGCTGCAAAATATTGTTTGACCAGCAGTTTGCTGTGACTCATTCTTCTCCTACTGAAATGAAAGGCAGAACTCTCCTTGATCTGATAGAGCTGCACAGGCTCAAAAAAGGCATGCATGAGTCTCCTACCAATGCTAGGAGATAGTATATTCATTATTAAATTTCATGGTGTGGTATCAGGGTCTGAGTGCTCATTACCTCTTCAGATGAGACCCAAAGCCAGTAGTACTGCTGGATGGTACACACAGCCAAGAGTGGTTTTTATTGGAAACCAGTGACAATACATGAGCATTCATTCTCTACACCATGTATTTTGATAATGTTGTCCTTTTCATTACCTTTCCATGAGAGAAAAAGAATGCCCTCTGTATATACAAGTGCTGGTTAAACTTAGTTAATGGGTGAAAGGCTCTAGGCTATGGTTAACCAGAAATCATTAGAAGTGGATTTCCAATAATAGGGCAAGCCACGAGAGTGAAGACTGTGATAATGCTACCTAGTTCCTATTCAAATCAGTGGATATCAATGTACTACATAATAAATCTGTTTGGCAAATTAAATGTGGACTACATGCTTTTTTGTCATGAGTACTTAAGATTTTGTGGTGGACTTTTACGATGCAAATGTGAAACACCACTCTACGTTTATCAAACTAAAAGCTTCTCATGGTACATTAACAGGATTAGGCTCTCATAAGGCAGTAAACATAAGAACAGTTGAAGAGGAAATTTTAATCAGCCTTTCCACTACAAGATTTAATTTTGCCTCTGGGTTGGACTGATGTTAGTCAGGGATTCAAATGCATTTCCAGTGAAAACTAAAATGCACACCCATGCACTATAAAGAGAGAAAAGAAGACAGATATGATCCAGAACCAATTCAAAGTTTGGACCCAGATACACATACACAAATCCAAAGCACATAAACCATGCACTTTAGGCAGGTGAGCAACCCTTTTGAAACCCAGGAGACTATTCTCACCCTTACAGTATTAATTCTTCTTGAATGTTGCACTGAATTGGTGCTTAGTTTTATCTTGTCTAGAATTTCTACATCTAAATTTGCAAGTTTGTGAAATCCTAGTAACCACAACTACAAGCCACTAATTAAGCTGTACAATCATCCTCTGCTCTGCCTTACTAAGAATTCATACTGTAGTACTGCTTGTGAATATGTTCCCTATTGTAGAGGGTGATACATAATACACAGTCATAATAGGTACATGAAAAAACATTGTAACCGCACATACAGTTGTTAACGAAATGCATATACACAATGCCTTACACACATGAGGCTAGTAGTTTGAACACCAGCTATCAGAACCAATTATACTAATGTAGTGTGGTATTGAGCCTTGCAATGGGACCTACATTCTATAAAGAGCAGGTAAAATAAGTGCTTCTTTAAAAGTTTGGGTATTTTGTTTTTTAACATTCAGAGGAATAGATTTTTTACTTGTTTATAATTAAAAAGGGAAAACATTCCTTGCATTGTTGAGGCTGGGGTTTGAAATAAAATACAAGGAGAAAAAAACTACAGGAGCAGGATTAAATATATGGTCCCCCAGAGGCTCAAATATGTGACAAAGGTTGTGTTGACATAAATTTGGAGGTACAATGTTAAAGGAGCACTGGCGACAGCAACTTATGCAGTGCCTCATGATGACGGCACACTGTACCATCATATATTCAATGGAACCCCAAATCATTATAGATATGCTAGAAAAATACAAGAGGAACACAGAAATTACCACAGGGAATCAGAGCCAATGGTGGATCCTGGGGCTGGAGAGAGGGACTGAACCCACCTTTGATTCCTGGTCCATTCAAAGTTTAAAATCAACTGCCTGGCAATGGCAGCAGTGAGGGAGTCAACTGATTTAATGGGTCATTATAAATCTACCTAATTCCTTCTACATTCTTTATTCTATAGGTGTTAATGGCCTCTTTACTTTTTAATGGCTTTGATATTCCACTAATCAAACTATCCTTAATTGTTTTCCAACTATTTAAGTTGGTCTAATAAAAGATATCAGATTCACCCAAAGAGCCTTGTCTGCCTATATCCTTTCTTCTGTAATTCTGCTTTCTGCTTGCTTCTCCTTGTAATGTAGCTCTTGTTTCA